GCACCGTTCTTATACTCTTAGATTAAGCGTAGGAAACAGACAGAACCCATCAGTGCGCCCTAGATAGCATTTGTTTGTTTCAAAAGCCCAGGCTTTATAATTCTGGTGGCAAACTGAGGTCACACATTGTTTGGGGCTGTCGAATCGCAGATATGACACATGTTATAAATAGGCCATCTCTGCACATTGCCTCTTCAAGGTGTAGACTGAAATGTTGATGTTGAGTTTCTTCAGGGAGAAGGTATCAGATGGGTGAAGTTCAGGGAAATTTTTGTTGTGGTCCTCTCATCTCACTCAGGGGCATAAAGGTGAGGACCAATAGGCAGGAACAGCATCCTCTAGGGCCTAGAACAGACTGGATAGGCTTCAGATTTGTGGGGTCTACTTGGGTCCCCCCCCCCCCAATAAGAACCATGAGGTACGGTATACCAACCAGGGCCAGGTGCAAAACAGTGGCTCAGCCAGACTGACTTATGCTAAACATGAAGGCTCAGGGTGTTTCTTGGCTCAGCCTAGGCTCACAAGTCCTTTCACACAAAAGTCCTGTCCTGATTTCTCCCCAAGCATTCCTTTTTCAGCAACCTAATTTAGGAGGGGAAAGCTTATTGGATGTTGCTCATATTAGACAATTAGGAGCCACAGACCCTTGCCAATCTATTTCAAATCATCCAAATATCTATTGACAGATACTGAACTACCTTCTGCTTACTGTCCAACAGTGAGGACCAATAGGTCTGGCCAGTTTCTTTGTGCCCTAGAATGATGTCCCAGAATCCTTTAACAGTTGACCTGAAGGAAGGTACTGCCAGGAAGTCAACAGATTAAAGCTTCCTTGAAGGTAGGAATTTTGAAAACCACTGCTACCGTAGGAGATGCTTAAAAAAAATAACTACAAAATATGACTTATGGCCATACAGTTGGACTTTCCCCCACAATGTGCTCTTCATACATTCTTCTTTCTCTCTCTCCCCTTCTCTTTTCAGCTTGTGTTGTTGAAGGCTTTGATCTCCTGAATTCCTGTGGGCAGCTCTGGCTTGAGCAGTCTACCCTTCATATGGCCCCTGACCAAAAGATCTCAAAGCTTGGAAAGCAACAGAGAGGGGGAAGGCCAGGCAGAACAAAAATAACCTTCCTGTAAAAACAGCTGTGTCTCCCTCCTGCCCACCCCAAGGCACACAAGGGGCCATGTGGACAAGTTTAGAAGGTAAAACTCTAATCGGGTGCTGGGAGGAGTGAGGCCAAAAGTTTAATGTAGGATAAAAATGCAAACCCCTTAAATCTCTTAGTGTTAGGCTTTAACCTTGCCTTGACTCTGCAGAGATAGCACTAAGGAAGGATGAGCTTGTATTAGAAACAGAATTCTCTCTCTCTCTCCCTCCAGCCCTTCTAAGCTGCCTAGGACCATTACTACAACTTACCAATGTAGAGTCAATCTTCCATATTGATTTCTCAGTCTGTTAAGGGTTGGGCACTCGTTTCCCCCACTACTCCATTAATGTAAGTGTAACTGGAGCACTGGTGTGGCGCTAGAATGATCTGAGCATGCATGCTTTCTTTACAGTGGATTTAATGTGGGCACTTGGTCGCAGGTAATTCTGTGTTAAATCAGATTTACGACTGCACTATATCCTATGCTGCTTTTCAGCTGCTGCCACTCAAGGAAAGGCCTGAGCTGGCATAGCACAGCAGTGGAAGTACCATCCTGTGCCATCTAGCTACCTTATGCTTGCCAAGGGGATGCCCTTTGTTTCCTTCTTAGTGCAGAAAATCCTGGGTGCTTCAAAGCAACGCAAGTGATCCAGGACCGCTTCATTGGCTATTTAAACACCACGCAGACTGTTGTCAACAACAGCCCTATTTTTGTGTCTGGGGAGCCAGCAGAGCAGCCTCTACTTCTGTGCTTGGTTTCTGATAATAAGGAAGAATAAAAATAGAATTTGAGGGTCCTGAGATCCCATCTGTTGCATGAATCATTAATTAAGACCCAGCGTGGTGTAGTGGTTAAAAATGTTAAGAGCAGGATTGGAAAGAGCCTGGTTCAAATCTCCCACAAGTCAGGAAGCTCCTCCTGTGGCACAAGGTTTGGAGGGTAGAAGGCCCGGAGAGGCATGTAAATGGTCCGAAACAGCTTGAAGAAAAGGGCAGGAGAAAAATGCAGTCAACAGTAATAACCAATCAATATACAAATCTAGCCTCCGTGCTTTTAATAAATTGACATGGCTTCCTAGGAGCTTTCCGTTGCTATTTTCTACTGTTTTAAATAGAGTTTAAAAGAATACATAAAGCAAACACTCCAAATGCATACATACACATATGTGTACACACACCACTCTGTATGTCACCCAGCATCTATTTATACATATTATTGCGATAAAAGGATTAATGTTCACTGTTGGTTCTTTCGGCATATCTGATGGATTTCCAGTCTCTTAAAAAATCAACAATGGATACTTTGCTCCCCATGTCTCACCCACATTCCTCCTGTAAGTTTCCCCAAGTACAGCTAAATCCCACACTTCAAGACAGGGGACCATTATCAGGCATTTAGAAAGATCCTGCTGAAGGCCTAAGAGACAGCCTTTTCTGATGGTGGTCCCTCTTTAAGGAATGCTCTCCCAAAACAGAGTCACCTGATATCTACAATAACAGTGACAGCCAAGGCTTTCCTTTCCCCCTAGGCATTTGATTGTTAATTTTCTCTGCTGTTTGGAGGTTACTACTGCTGGTTAACTTATAGTGGCAATCATGCTGATATTGTTAGAGGGTGGTAGGCATTTTCTTATTATCTTGAGAAGTGGTGTATGACCCCGTTTTAGTGCTTTGTTGTTTACTGAGCTTTTGAAAAAAGGTTTTTATTTCCATTTTACTGTAAGTAGCCTTGAGACAACAATAACATAACAAAGCTTTGTTCTGAATTCACATACTGTATTCCGTTAACCACATCCTTTCTGTGTTTGCACACTGCTTGGACCCCCCCATATATATATATCTATATATATCTATATATATCTATATATATCTATATCTATCTATCTATCTATCTATCTATCTATCTATCTATCTATCTATATATCTCAAAGGAGTGCACATTGCTATCCCTTAATTTTGCTTCTTTTTCCAGCAACTGGAATATTTTGCTGCAGAAAACTGATTTTGGGTGTAAGCTGCTCATTTTAACAGCTGAAAATTTCCCCAGACCAGAATAAATTAAGTCTGGCCCATCTTTCTAACACACTGAATTTTCTATAATTAAGGGAACATAAACCCTCATTGTTTTCCTGTCATACAATCCCCAAACAACACATTGGATGATGATGATATTATTATTATTATTATTATTATTATTATACAACTCGGCTTTGATAATTTCATCCAAAATGCAGCCAGAATGTGAGCTTTCCTTTACAAGGCGAAAGAAGGTGACATCCTGAGACAGATTGTGACATTAACAGAATGTTAATTCTCCAGGATTGGGCGAGAATTGATTTGGAATCGAAAGTGTAGGAAACCGAGCCTCAGTTTTCTCGTTGCCACCTTCTTAAATGCAAACATCCCCTCTCGGTTATCCGGGAGGGGGGGGCAGGCATATTATGGGCGACTCGAGGATGCATTAATTGGGCAAGGGCCACGTTTCCTTCCTAATAAACAAAGGTGTCGGGCCAAAGAAGAGCAACTCCACGCTCCCTTGCCAGGCAGAGGCCGCGGCTGCTCAGCAGATGGATTGATTCGGGTGGCGAGAAAACGATATTTAGAGGTGCCTGAAAGCACTTGGCAAGTTCCAGGGGCTCGAGCCACCCTAAAGGGGCGGTGATATGTGTGTGTGTGCTTGAAACAAGCAATCCCAAAAGAATGCCCCCCCCAAAAAAACCCTGTATTTATGAAATCTTTCAGACAAAAGTAGTTCACAAGCAGCGTATTGTGTTTGGGGGGAATGAATTATGAGACAACAGCTGAGCAAACCAAAAAAGCAGCCGCCGCCATTCTGGCTTTGAGTAGCGGCGAGAGCGCCTGTCAAGGAAAAACTGGGCGCGACGTGGAAGGAGGAGCCATCGCGCCTTTTTCCCGGCGTATGAAACAGGGAGCCGAGTGCGGCAGGTGAGGGAGAGAGATGCCATGCAGAAATCCCCCCTCCTGCCCAACTGGGAATCCGGTGGGGGGTGGGGGGAATGTAGTAAATGGGAAATTGGTCCCCGGCACAAAACTCTCCCAAGCCTGAGGGGAGCCCGGATGGCTGCCAAAGAGTGAGAAAGAAAGAGTCCGGATATCGGGTTGCCTCAGGTCCCTCCCGCACACATGCATTAAGCGTCGCCCGGTCTCTCTTGATGGTGCAGCCATCCTGATCTGCTCGCCCAAAGCTGACGTGGAGATTATAGGCGGCCTTCGCCGAGCATCCCTTGGGATTTCTTGTCTCTTTTTGCAAGGCCATTATGCAACATAAGAGCCTGCTTGCTGCATTCGCCGCCCTTTGCTTGGAGGTGGGGTGGGGTGTTACTTTAGCAATCTTCCTGCCAGTCGTTCATTCGCGATGCATTTCCCCCTCGCTTTGCACAAAAAAAGTGCTTATCATAGAATCACAGAATTGTAGAGTTGGAAGGGCACCCTGACCGAGGACACCGAGGACCATCTAGTTCAACACCCTGAAATGATGCTAAAAAAGAGGATATGTCAGTTGCACTAGGGCAACAGAGACCTTTAATCTGCTTTAACCTCGCAAACCTAAAATTCTGCTTGAATCCCTCCTGCGATATGGTGACAGTCTGGGGCAGGGCCGGATTTAGGTTCGATGAGGCCCTAAGCTTCTGAAGGTAATGGGGCCCTTTATATGTCCTGCTGTCCTCTGTCAACAAGAAGTCACTTTTTTGTGTTGAATATATGTGATACATGATATGAATATGGTGATATTTTAGGGAGCAGGCTAGCAGGCGGGGCCCATTACTTACATCTTAGGAGCCTACACAACACATAACACTGTTGCTGTATTAGGAAATAAATAAATAAATTGTCCAGTAGCACCTTAGAGACCAACTAAGTTTGTTCTTGGTATAAGCTTTCGTGCGCATGCACACTTCTTCAGATACACACACATGAAAGCGTATACCAAGAACAAGTTTAGTTGGTCTCTAAGGTGCTACTGGACAATTTTTTTTAATTTTTTAAATATATTTCAACTGTGTCAGACCAACACTGCTACCTACCTGAATCTAGAACTGTTGCTGTATGTAGGTTTTATTTTATTTGTTTTTTATCTTATATTTTGGAAATGTACATCCAGGGTTTTTTTCTTTAATTTTTTTGGGGGGCCCAAGATACAGGCCCTATAGGAGCTATAGCTTGTTTAGCTTATGCGTAAATCCGGCACTGGTCTGGGGTGAGGCAACCTCCCTGGTTGGTACATCAGCCTTATTCTCGAGTGAGAAGCTATGTTAAGGCTACCAAAAATCAATCAATCAATCAATCAATCAATCAATCAATGTAGGGCTGGTGACAGTGGAAATTTATTATAATTCATTTATATCTTTTTTTAAAAGGTTTATAAAGTATGGACCCTTTACTGGAGAAAAGCAAGCAATGGGAAGTGCCCCTTTTATGCCTCTAACATTAGAAGTAGCATGTAGGATCTGCAACAAAATTTTGCAGAGTAAAGCCCTGCTCAGGTTCCAGCCACCGCCCATGCTCTTTCCTAGGATATTCTACTATGTTCCCTAACCCCTCTGGTTTTTTATTCCCCCACCCACCCTTTTCCAACATTCATCCAGCATTTTGTGGCTGCTCAGCATGCTCAGTCTTTGCTGGGCTCTCTTCAGGGATTCAGACCTTAACATGCCCTACGCCACAAATCCCCTAGGATTCCTCCAAGCCTGCAAATACCTTTCTTGTCTCTGTGGATACTACCATTTTGGCTCAGGATCCGCAGGTGTAGAATGATATATGATAAGTTGCTGTTGTTATTCATAAATAATAATGATGCTGATGATGCAGTATTTTTGCTTTACAGAGCAGCATCAAAAAAAGAGACAAGGTCCTTCCCACAAGGATCTTACAGCTGAAATATATTATTCCAAACTTTTCATTTTCAGCCAACAGAAGATGGCATACATCAGTAATACTTGGCATCTCAGAAGGGTGCCATGCTTGACAAAACTCGCTGAGTTTTGCTTTTCTCAGGTCTTGTGCTTGGGAAAAGATGGCATTCCTTCCAAGTGCTGCATTCACATGGCTACTGACAGCTCCCTTTAAGCGACTGTGCAGCAAAGTGTTGACTGAAGTGTGAAAAGCCGTATTTTAAGGCCAGCATAACCAAAGCGTGACTTCTGGATCGAAACCAGAAAACAGAGGAAGGGGGGTGGGGAAAGTAAGGAGAATTCACGACCCCAGGGTTGGCCTTCTTTCAGACTGAGTTGCTAGTTCTTGATTTCTTACAGTAGCCACAATCCATTCAAAGCCTCTTCTGTCAAGAACAGCTTTTATTTTTATTCAGATGAGCGAGTTATTATGTGCTAGATTCATTGGTAAACTGTACATGTAAGCACAGCCAATACGTCACGGCCACACTGTTTGACCAAGGGCAGAGGATGCCGATAATCCCTGGATCAGCTGTCCCAACTGAAAACAGGAAGAAGGAGGCCTGGACGTTTCTTTAAATGAGCAAATTGGATGAGGCTCTGGCAGTGCTGACTTACACTGAGTCAGCAGAACCACACAACTCAACAAAGAATATTTATTCACACATGAATTATTCAGCCGGCTTGAATAGCATCTCTGCAACAGCAATTCTGCAAGCAAGTTATTGCATACACATAGGCAGTCGTCCAACCACAGCTGCAAAGCGGAATCAGGATAGTTCTCTTGACCAGTCAAGTGGTGGTGAGGAAGCCTTTTGCTTCTGGGAGCCGCTGAGGCAAAATAGTAGTCAGAGCTTCCTTTACAAAGTGCTGGAAGTCAGCAAAATGACACGGAAGTGAGCTTTTTATTTAGCCTCATGTGAAGGTCTTCTGTGACAAATCGAGAGGTTTTTACCTATGCCCCACCCCCTGATTTTAATTTTATTTTTAAAGAGACTTTTGAGCAAATCTATGTTCCGGAGACTAAGATCCGAACCAACAGACTCAAGTTACACAAAAGGATATTACGACTAAACATCAGGAAGAACTTTCTGACCATAAGAGCTGGTTCAACATTGGAACAGACGGCGGACTCTCCTTCGTTGGAGGTTTTTAAGCAAAGGTTGGATGGCCACCTGTCATGTATGATCTGGTTGAGATACCTGCAGTACAGGGTGATGACATTCAGGGGTTCCCTTCCAACTCTATAATTCTCTGATTCTATTGTATCTTTTTAATAGACTCAAGACAGATCCATAGAGCTGGAAGAAGCCTTGAAGGAGCTGAGAGGAGCCCTCACCAATTTGGTTCCAATTCCAGTTCGGGGGTAAGGCAGTCAAGAGGTTTCAGGTTTCTGCTCAGTCCTGGTCACTGAAAGACAATACCCTTTCTGAACTGATTTTAAGGATAGGTTTAGGTTCTGTGTGATTCCCTAGGTGGTTACTACGCACATTTTTACAGGCTATATACTGAAGCATAGAAAGCGAGAGGGGCTACAACTTGCTGGAAACCCTCCAAAAAACAATTGCCTACTTGAGGGACTGAAACCCAGGTCTCCCAGATGGGTGTTCACTTCACCACATACCATCTCTGTTTCACATATTTAGGCTGCATGCATAATATTCATCTGGATGGAGGCGTATTTTCCACAATCTCTGAAGTTGCTTTTCTTGGCTGAACTACTGTCTGGCCAGAGAAGAGACCCAAAACTTTTGTTTGAAGTAGTAGCGAAGCTTTGGCAACTCTAAATGAGGAAAAGGTCGGAACGTTTCAAGAAAGTGTTGGGCTTTGCTTTCTCCAGACAGAGCCCAGTTGTTGGTGATGTCTCTTGATTTCCCCCTGCACATGGAATTCAGGCTTGGCACGAGTTTCGCAGCTGCGGTTGCTGCTGCTAGCCTTGTATGCAAGCGAGCTGTTTCCCAAGTCCTGGTCACACATTCATGGCCCTTTTCCTGCTTTGATGCTTGCTCAGATTCCATTAGGATTTAATGAGGAACCCACCAGCCTTGACAAGCAGAGCGGCTGACTCATGGCTGAAACCAAGGGCAAGCCTGAGATTGGGAATTATCCAGCAAATTAGTTTGTCACCTTTGGCTCTACGTTCGTCTGGACAAAAGCATGGTTCCACCCTCTCCGTGGCCACACAAACCTAGAGGGAGCTTGTGTTAGCATGATCACTGCAATATTGCAAGCAGGAACCTCTTGAAATTCTTCCTATTTGTGGAGAGAGGAACTGGGAGGATGACTTCTCTTGCATTGATAAGAAATTCTCCCAACAGTTCCTTATTTATTTATTACATTTCTATACTTCCTTTCTGGCAAGGGCACCCGAGGCAGTTTATCAATTTAAAATATTTTTTAAAAATACATTATATAAAATGTAAAGTTGTTCCTGTTGGTGGGGGGCAGGCTGATGTTGTCTTTGGCTGCTTGCCTGCCTCTTTTTGCTCTCGTCTGCCTTCCCAAAGGACAGATGGTGTCCATTTCTTGGGGTGAGGGCTGCAATTCAACAGTGGCAGCAGTTCAGCAGCTTTATCTTCTCCAAAGGTTTGTTTGGTTTTTGTTCTTTGCTGCTGTTGCAAATAGCAAGATCAGCAGTGTTGGCTGCCTGGCTGCCATCTTGTCTCTTTTATAATGCTCCAGACCTCACATCATTCCAGGGCCTTTGGGGTGGGGTGGAGTGTGTGGAAATTGCAGCTGCCACAAAAAAATGGTGAAGAATATATTTGGAGAGTATTCTGTAAGGTGGTCATTTTTTTTAGGAGGCAGCAAACCTTTGTCAGGAAAATGTCTTCTGAGAAGTTTTGGGAGGTAAGAACATTAGAAGGAAGGTGGGAACATTAGACGAGTCCTGGTGGATCAGACCCATCCAGCATTCTGTTCTGTGGCCAAGCAGAACCTGAGCACAACAGCACTCCCGCCGTGGCCTGTGCTGGAAATTTGCTTTCCACTCTCAGGTTGTTTCCTTTCTCTTGTTTGCAGAGCCACAAAGATATGGGCTCTTTTCTCCACAGGCAGGGACAATCTGGGTCATGTCTCCAATTTTAAATATTCGCTACTTCTTAAAAAATAATTACCGTATCTCCCTCACCCTCAACATATGCCAAACTGCCCAGTAACTTCACACTTGAAGTTCTACACTTTTGTTTTAATATATATATTTGTTTTGTTAAGTAAACTGGTTTACAGCTTGCAGTCATGCATGTTACCTTAAGACATGTCAAATGAATGCTTGTCATGTTCACACATCACATTTTAAAGTGTACTCTCAAAACAGCCTCGGTGTAGACACACAAATTGCTGCTTTATGAGAATTGGCCCTAAATTTGTCTGCTCAGACCATGGATGCCAACGCCTGATACCTATTCTCGTTATTAATAGCCTAATGTTTTAGTGTTATGCTTCTATTGCATCATGAAATCGCTTTGGGATGCTTCATAGTAATCAATTTGTAAACGAAATAATGAATAAATTTGCTATCCTGTCATTTGGTCAAGGGAGACCCAAACATGGCCTACAGGTGAGTGAACAACTGTACTTTGAGATGAAACAACTCCTGACAATACCTGTGTGGTTTAAATCAGTAGTGTTTACACAGCCTTTGTCCTCGGCAGGGCTGGCATCAGCACCCAAACTGCTAACGGTCAACTGTTGACTCCTGCCCTAGCCGCCTTTTAAAGTCTTGCTGCCATTTTAATTTCCCACAGTTCTCCTGATGTGGCATTGCTTCAGGGCACTGCAAGAATTTTTAAATGGCAGCTACACAGCGCTGCTAGTGTTGGGGCACAAAGTACTGTTAGGTGAGGGCCCACCTGAAGGCACTTTGTCCTTCAGATCAGGAGCAGAGCTTGTTTCCCAGCCATCTCTCGTCCTACTCTCACCCTGGCAGGGGCTGCGTCAAATGACAGCGGAGGAAGCCTAGTTGAAGAAGGAAAACAACAACAGCCAGCATAAGCTCAGCCTGACCAATCTGCTCCCTTCCTCAACTATCCCCGGCTGGCGAGCCTTTAGATCAAAAGCTGTCCTAGACACAGATC